TTATCTCCCTTATTAAAACGTCACACCACTGTCACTTCAAGCATTTGATACATTTGACAAGAGGTCAGCCGCCCTATACAATAGGCTAATATGCTGACAACTTTATTGTAAGTGTCGAATCAATCACTTCTTAAGGATCTCCGAATCCTATTCAAGGGACAGCGTCAACTTCATGAGCTTCGGACGAGCCTGAGGGAACCTCGAATTGGATTGTACCTCGTCCTTGAAGAGGTGCTTCAGGCTATGCCTTGTTACACTGTGTGATAGCTTCTGACGCTGGGCTAAGGACCTCGGCCTTTTGTCTTACTGGAATTTCTGACCTGTTGGGCCTCCCTTTGACCTCTCATTGACTGTTTTGTCTACGTGGTGTGCCACACGGCTTCGCCTCTTTAGACCTCGAAATCGAGGGGTAACAGAATTTATCTGAATTCAAATCCTCAGAATTGGTATTTATGATAGATCAACCTCGTAAGTTAAGAAAGAACAACCATATGCTTAAAATGACATCAATGTGAAATATATTACTGCACAATAATTGAAGATCTATTAACTTTTGTCATAAAATGCTATTGTCAACTGTGCATTTTACTTTTTCCTGCAACATATGTATAAATTTGACGTCTGAGGATTTAACATTTTAAGAATCATAGATTTCTCACCAAAACAAACATTTAACATAAAAGAGAACAATGAGTTGAGAAATATACTCTATTGACTTTATGTGATATATTTGTGAATAAACAACTATTTGATGCTCCAATACCAACTTCTGAAATTAACCCAACATGAACTGAAAAGAAAATCAGAATCTTATCCATGGCAAAACCAAAAAGCTAAAATACTTCTAGTCTAAATCATGTAAAAATGGGGTAGCATAGATGATCCTGTCTGCAGGATCATAACTCCCCATGCTCAGAAAAACAAAGGAAAAGCATGTCGTCCAAACATGCCTAACTGAATTCATAAAGAGCTGGTATCAGAAACTGTTAAGAATTGGGGTTCCATCTTAAAATGTCAACCTTGTTAGAGGAGTAGTCCAAGATCTTTATTCATTGATATGTGTCAACATCATCTTAAAATTTATTCATCTTAAAATTTCTCTAATTGAAAATTTATTTTTACAGACAGAACACTCCAGCCTCATTTCTGATGGCTGCAAAACAATAAAAATATTTTGTCTTATCCCAACAAGTTTCCATGTTGTCTAACTACCATATAGATTCTGAAAAAAGGAAAACGCAACAGGTAAGAAAAATTGGAAAATTACAATAGGCAACCCAGATGAAACGTGACAACTATTTGCACGTCCCCCACAGAGAAACATTCAGCCAGAAACAAATTAAATTCAAACATGACAAATACATTCCCATGGTTTTTAAAAGAGTGTATAAGGAAAAAGGGAACACCATTGTCAACACCACATTATTGATATATGAATAATATAAACTTTTTAAAACTGCACAATTAGTTGATAGTTTAGATAATTACAAGGCAATCCATTTTTAAAAGTTACTTTACTACACCTTATAAATAAGCTTATGAACAGTCAAGAAGGAGGCATTAATGTCTTAGATTTGCTCGACTTCTTTTTTTCACCATTTGCAAGATAACCAGAAAGTTATTTATAACCAAGCAAACATACCCTTGACGGAATATAGCCATAGGATACAAAAAGATAAAAACCAACTAATAGCGGTTGCACGGCATGCCTTGCCTTCAGAGTACTTGTTGGTTAAAGCACTGCCGAGTGCCTCAAAATACACATTTTCTAGTGAGGATGTTGTTACCTACACCACACGGTGTGCCTTAATAGAAACACTTATTTTCTCTTAATGAAACTTTAGATTCTTGTGATTTTAACAAAGGTATAAAACACCATCTTGTTAATCAAAAACATAAGAAATATAAGTTCAACATAGTAAGTAGGATATTGTACTTTCAGCTAAGATGCCAGGCTGTTCTCTCCTCTCTCTAGTTGCTTGCAACTTCATTCGTAATTCATTGAAGATAAGTCTGAGTTTCTGGGGAACCATAAATTTGGGAGAAATAGAAAGCACAGAGGAGGTCTTCAATTACACAGTAGCCTTTAAAAAAGAAAAACACGGCAAACTTTAAAGTCGTTACTTCTAGAATCATGAAGGATATACATCCATCTTTCAACATTTATCCCAGTTTTCATAGATAAAATGAGCAAAATACAGATTGCGCTAGATTTTCAGAAATATTTATGACTCTTGGAAGTTTTCAGGCTTAATCTAATGGTATATGTTATGGGTCAATAGGTGGAAGCGACACGTGGCACCATATTTTAGAGGTGGGACCAGCTTAGTCAAATCAAAGCATATTTTCCTAGCTTCAGATGTATGCTCCGAGGCCCTAACTATCATTCCGAGGCCACTGCTGTTAATGATGAGCCACGGTTCGGCAAACACACATCATCCGAGGCTCCTTAGCAGCCATTGAAGACCCACATGCGAAGATCCGCTTATGATGGAGATCTTTGGCGAATGATTGACGTGACTTTTATGTAAAGTTTATTTGTGTCCTGTCTTGTCAATGTAAGAGCATTTAATGTTTTGTAAAGCTAGGAGAGTCAACTTGAGTGCTAGGATTTGATGTCCTAATCAAGGAGATGAGGCCACGTGTAGGCTGATCCAAAGGCCACCAATTGAATTGTAACACTATAAATACCCCCACCATGTAACACAAAAAGGGATGATGCAATTTTAAAGGAAAAACTAAATATTGGAAGCAACCTTTCTCTCGTTTCTACAGTGATCCCTACAACATATTTTCTACTACAAATCATATTTTGTAGATTGGTTTCTTATACAATCGTGTTACGTCTTTCTTGTCGGTGGCCTGAACGGAAACGTCTCGTGCCTTTGAGCCACTCCCACGCCCATTACTTGGAGCCATCATGACCGTCTATCGGCATTAACGTGTTGGATCAAGCTTACGTGTGTACGAGTGGGCCCGGCATCTGTTGGCAACATTTTTTGGGGTCAACAGTATATAATTTTAAAATATTCTATGCTGATATTCAGACTTTTAGAAGATTTTCTTTGCATTAGCACCATTCTCTAGTACTACAATTGGTCAATATCAGAACCGCCCAACAACACACATACCCCAAAAGCATTATTAACATTATCGACCAGGCTCGTATAGTACTTAACTATTTGGCACTCAACTTTGTACTACTACAAATTTTCTTAACAAAAAGTAAAAGTTAATAACGATTGACCAATCTTCTTTCTATGAGCAAAAAATAGCAGCTATAAACATGACGATAACACTAAAGGGACAAACGAATTATATCCAAGTGCTCTGCCTCATGTAATTATCAACTCTAAGGCCACTCTGCATGTTGGGCAAACATTCACCACACATGATAGAATAGGTGATAATATTACAGAACTTACCCTCAACACCCATGTGTCTTCACCATCCATAATTGACTATAGCCTGTTTGCAGCTTCCAGTGGTATATGCTAAATACTTGTTTTCCCCTCATATGCTCTTTTTCTAAAACTAGTTTTCTGCCAATACAATGCACGGGCTGTACTATTTTGAAGGTATTGTTAGCGTGTTGAAATATTGCATTATGGATGACAAATCTGCACAAGTAAATAGTAATAACATATACGAAGTAATTGATAAACCTACATATACTACACATCCATGAAAGAACAATAGAAAGAACAACTTCAACAGTTTTCATGGTCCATCATTTTGCCAAGCAGTATACCATATCAAGGATATTTACATGTTAAGATAAGTATATTATTAAACTCATTCCGGAAGTAATAATTTCCCTGAAAGGTAATTTCTTAGTAGTAATGTGGAGCCTTGTAGGCATTTTGACTGTTGCACTACTGAGGTTTTTAGAGTAGTTGTAGCCAATACTATATCTTGAATCATGTCATAGTTCAATATGATCAGCTATCATTATTGAAGCTGTTAATAGCATCATTAAATCCTCTGCACAGGAGAAATACTCTATTAATAGCAATCCATTAAAATTCGACTACAACAGTAAACATAAAAGATAGCTTACACTGTTGTGCATTACATGTCTCCATAGTGGTATCTACCTGCTTAATCTCTGGCTGAATATGCGTAGATCAGCTGGTTGTCGGTCGAGTCTGTATACCATCTCACCACTCGTCTCCTGAGCTATCTACCTGATATATCGTAGTGCCTTTGTAACAAAATCCAAAAAGAATAGTTACTATATATTTTGGCAACATGGAAACAGAAATAAAAAGACCAAGTGGTAGATTTTTCGTAGTGCATCTGGGATAGTAAAATATAATATAAGGATGGGCAACATTAGTAAATGCAAAATCAGTAGAAAATCCAGTTGGTCTTAGCTCTTTAGTCAATAGATAAATCTTTGAATTATATTTATAAAGGCTGAACTACGTACGATATTAAATAGTCATACTTACTGTAATAGTCATTTTATGTGCTATAATGTTCGATAGAGGCCGAAGTACCTCTGGCACATTTCAGGCCTCAAAATAGGAGCCATGTTACTAATTAAGTTGTGAACATCTAAGAAACTTTAGTGCATTATGTTTAATGTCGCATCTAACCTTGAGATTCGGGTGATCAAAGATATGAATAATTGACCATCCACCTTCACATGGCCGTATCAGATATCCAGATGGAAGCATCTCGACTCTTAAAAAATGTGAAGTTGCAGCTGCACCTAGGTTAGCCCTGGTACTAAGAAGAGATCTTTCACACATTTATGGAACAAGAATGAAAAAAGATCAAAAACAAAAAGATGTATGACATTACCCTCGATATAAAAATATTACGGTTCAGAAAGTTGTAATAGCCCATTTTAATAGATTAAAGACATTTCGAGCACATATAATACTGGAAGGTCCACGGCATCTTTCAATGATGCAGATGATGAGGTGGTTGACCACTTGGATTTGTCAGGGAGATCGGGCTGTGGGATTCCTTGTTATTGGTCAAAAACGTCAATGCCAAAATTTAGAGGGAATGGCAGTGGTTCGCTGTCTCTTTCTGATACTTTAAGGAGGAAAGGAAGCAGCATTTCTTGCGGAAGTCAATCCTTGTCTCAAAGAAGACATCATCGGTCATCTTTGGGGTCCGATAAGAGGAGACCGATCTCAAGGTCTGCAGCTAAAGGTCTTGCTCCTTTGCTCAGCGCTGACAGCCTAGGAGAATCATCTATGGGAAGTGAGAATAGTAATAATGAGCTTACCACAAATTTTGGAGAGGTTGATTTGGAGGCGACGAGTCGGTTGGATGGAAGGAGGTGGTCTACAGACTACAAGCTGTAGGAGTCAAGAAGGGTTAGCTCAAGTAGCTCTGAACGAGGAAATGCTTGAGGAAAGTTCTCCGGAAAATATCAAAAGCCTTAGCCAGAAATATAGGCCAATGTTTTTCGAGGAATTGCTCGGGCAGAATATGGTTGTTCAGTCACTCATGAGTGTGATTTCAAAAGGAAGGGTTGCCCCTGTTTATCTTTTCCAAGGTCACCGTGGGACTGGAAAAACATCAACTGCGAGAATTTTTGCTGCTGCTTTGAATTGCCTTGCTACTGAAGAGACTAAGCCCTGTGGTGTCTGCAGGGAGTGTGCTGATTTCATATCTGGCAAGAGCAAGGATCTCAAAGAAGTTGATGTATCTAATAAAAAGGGAATTGATAGAGTCAAAAATCTCTTTAGAAATCTGTCAGGGGTTTCCTCATCACCCATTTTGCAGTATAAGGTTTTTGTCATTGACAAGTGTCGCTTACTGCCCTCAAAGACATGGCTGAAATTTCATAGATTTCTTGAGAAACCATTGCCACATGTCGTATTCATACTCGTTACAACTGATTGTGACAATATTCCCCATAGTATATTTTCCAGGTGTCAGATGCACCTCTTCAACAAGATTGGCAGCAGTGACATTATTACCCGATTGAG